TGGGTTACATAATAAACAGATTTTTGCTAAAATTACAATCAATAAAGTGAGGGGCAGAAAAGAGAAAGAGGTGAGCGCAGAGTACAGAGAAAGCAAGCACTCAGCAAGTGTTCAGCAGCAGCTAAGCTGCCGATGATGATTTGCCCGCACTCTCAGACTGCTGCTTCGAACTGCCAGAGGCGGCGGCGGAACTCTTTCCTTCTTTGGAAGTTCTACTTGCCTCCTCTTTGCCCTCAGAAGAGGCTCCGGTGGTCTCCGCTTTGGAGCCGGCTGCAGCACTGCTGGCCGCCTTGGAAGTTCCACTCGATGGCTTGGAAGTTCCACCACTGGCAGCAGCAGCAGCAGAGCTTCCATCCTTGGAAGCGCCAGAAGTAGTAGCGGCTGCTGAACCTTCAGTGCCCGAAGAGCCAGCCGCCGTTGCTGCCCCTGAAGAAGAACCAGCAGCGGAGCTTTTGGCCTTACTCGCCGCCTCTGACTTTTGTTTGCTCTGTGAGCCGCTGGCAGCAGCAGCAGAAGCACTTCCCTCTTCAGCTTCGGTTGTTTTGGTTTTGGCGGCCGCAGAGCTGGCCTTTGGCGCCTTGCTCGACTTGCTCGATTTGCTGGCCGGCGACGCCGCCGCCGCCGACGAGCCATTCTGACCAGTTCTGCTGGTCGGAGTTGAAGAGGCAGAAGTTCCTTCGGCAGCAGCAGCAGCAGAGGCAGAAGATGATTTGGAAGCTTTAGAGCTCTTGGTGCTTTTGCCCTTGGAGGCTTTCGAAGCATCGGCACCCCCGCCTGAGCTGCTCGATGAAGAGGATGAGGAGGTTTTCTTTGAAGCAGCCGCCGATTCCTTGGTGCTCTTCTCCTTCTTCGAGGAGCCGCCTCCTGAGCTGACCGACTCCGACTCCGATTGTTTGCTTTTACTAGTTTTGCTAGTTTTGCTACCCTTTCCGCTCTTCTCCGGCGGCAGACTGGAGCTGTTCAGCTTGTACCCGGAGCCGGAGGCGTCAGCAGCAGTGGCAGAGCTGGTGGCCGTGGAACTTTTCTTGCTCTCCTGACCACTAGCTGCTGAAGTGGCCGTGGCAGTGGCCGAGTCTTTGGTGCCAGCAGCAGCAGCACTAGCACTCGTGGTCGCCGGCTTTGAGCCCGAATCGGTGACACTCTTTTTCTTCTTCTTCTTCGAGTTAGCGTCGGAAGCCCCAGCCGCCGAAGAGGAAGACCCTTTAGGCGACTTTTTCGACTTTTTCGACTTCTTCAGCACCGTTTCGGCACCACCCTCATCATCATCGCTGCCGCTGCCGCTTCCTTTCTTGCTCTTCTTCTTCCTCTTGCCGCTCTTTGAAGCTGCCGAAGATTTACCTTCAGAAGCAGCAGCAGCAGCACCTCCTGACGGTGCCACCGTACTGCAGGCCTTCTGTATGTCGGTCTTATCGGCGGCGGCGTACTTCGCAAAGGGACTTCGCTCGTAGGGCTGAATCTTGGAGCGATTGGTCGCCTGGCTCTCCGCCGACTGGGCGTCCGCCGAAGCGGAGGAGGAGGCGGGAGCTTT